GAAAGGGGGGGCCCGGGGGGGGGGGGTATTTGTGAATTCCCTGCCTTGTGCGGGAGGTTGGGTTCTAGCTCTATGATCCTGTGATTCTGTGAGCCCTGCAAGGTCAGCCCAAGCCAAGCCCTGCCGAGGGTCCGACGCATCCCAGAGTTCCCTGCACCCTGGTTTTACTCTCCATATGAAAACTCAAGAGGACTACAAAAGAATGATCCCTGTTTAAAACTCAGGCCAATTCACACTGGACAGGAGCAGCTCTTCCTCCTGACACGTCACAGATGGAATGAAATGCCAGCACAAAGGAGAGCGACTGGTGGCACGTGGGTCCCGGACTGGAGTGCCCTGTGCATTTCGTAACCAGCTCCCCACAGCCACCCAGCCTTCTGGGGCCAGGCGAGGAGAGCACAGATGGGCCCTTGCCAAGCTCTTGAGCAACATACGTGGACTGCCCTGCCAGGGAGCTGCCGCTGGGCCTGCCAAAGAAGCCGCTGGCACCGGAGGAGGCGTTGGCACGGAGGAGCACAACCCGCCTCTTTAGGAGAAAGTGTTTGCAAAGCACCCCCTTCTGTTGACATAAGCTCATATTTCTGTGGGGTGAGGCCGAGTGCCCGCAAAGAATGCTGCTGGGCAGGCAGGTGGGGGCGGCAAAGCTCCTGGGATTACACAGGTTCCCAAGGCTGCTCCGGGCAGGACAGGCCGTGAGTGGATCATTTGTGGATTTGTTCTGCTTACTTAGTTCAAAATATTTCTGTCCAGCCTTTCCTGAGGCAAATGAGAAACACAAAGGGCAGATAACACAACTGAAAACAACATGAATGCACAAATCACAATACTTCCCCCCCCCCTCCAAAAAAAACCCTATCACCAGACAGAGAAAGCCAGGACATCTTTCTGAAAGGGAGAGAGAGAGAGAGAGAATACATGTTGATGGGGGTCTGAACTGGCAAAGACTGACCAAGAGAGAGATCTTGCAGTCGTAGTAGATAATGTTGAGACAGTGTGCAACTGCAATAAAAAAAGGCCAACGCTATGCTGGGGATTATTAGGAAGGGAACTGAACACAAACCAGCCAGTATCATAATGCCCCTGTATATATCAACGGTGCGACCTCATTCGGAGTACTGTGTACAGTTCTGGTCACCATACCTCAAAAAGGATATTATAGCATTGGGGAAAGTGCAGAAAAGGGCAACTAGAATGATCAAAGGGTTGGAACACTTTCCCAAAGAAGAAAGGTTAAAGCGCCCCAGGACATTAGAAGCCCTCCCACTGTTGACCCCCCTCCCAAGCACCAAGAAGACAGAGCATCACTTGCCCCAGAGCCCCTATCTATACCTTGTGGCTAATAGCCACTGATGGCCCTCTGCTCCATATGCTTATCTAATTCCCTTTTGAAGCCGTCCATGCTTGTAGCCGCCACCACTTCCTGTAGTGTGCTGTATTACTGGGGGTAATCTTTAGCTTGGAGAAACAATGGCTAAGGGGTGACATGATCGAGGTTTACAAGATTATGCACGGGATAGAGCAGGTAGAGAAAGAGGTACTTTTCTCCCTTTCTCACAATACAAGAACTTGTGGGCACTCCGTAAAATTGCTGAGTGGTTGGGTTAGAACAGATCAAAGGAAGTCCTTCCTCATCCAAAGAGTGATTAACACATGGAATTTACTGCCACAGGAAGTGGTGGCGGC